TTTACCTGTAGCCCCAGGGCCAACCCGGCTCACAGTACATATTTGTAAGCCCCAGGACAGGGGGCCATCAACGTACCCGTTTATCTTGTATTATCTATATTGTTCAGCCCATATATAGCCCACAGGGGGGCAGGGAAGGGCCCCTCTACAGTACCTGTTTGAAGCACCAGGGGGAGGCCAGGACAGGGAGGTGGGGCCCTCACAGTAGGTACGCTAGTATACCCAGGGCCCGTTCCACAGGTAGCTGTATTAGCCCAGGTTCCCTCACTGTCAGATAGTAGAGTACCTGTAGCCCAGGGCCCTCACTAGTAGACCTGCCTAGCTCCCAGGTTGGGAACCCTCTCTCATAGCTCTTTAGGGTTTCCGGGCTGTAGACCCAGGGCCCGGCCTACTCAGAGTAACAGGTGTGTGCAATTATTTTGCACAAGGGCCCATCTTCACAAGTCTAAGAGTTACCTGTAGCCCAGGGCCGCCCTCACAGAGTAGCCTGTAGTCCGGGGTTCCTCTTCCTCCACTTTAGGTATCGGTGCTGTATTTTATAGCCCCAGGAGACCCTCACAGAGTACACCCTGTGAGCCCACGGGCCTTCAACAGTTTTACCTGTAGTCCCCAGGGCACCTCACCCTAACGTTCCTGTTAGCCCCCAAGGGGTCCTCACACAGAGTTACCTGTTAGCCCAGGGCAGAAGACGGCCCTCTCCCACTCACCTCAGTCCTACCTCTCACATTAAGTACCCTGTAGCCCAAAAAAAAAGAGCCCTCACGCTCAGAACCTCAAGGATTACTTGTTTATAGCCAGGGGCCTTCCTCTCCCTCACAGTCCCCTCACCCCTCACCCCCTCCTCAGTCAGTACCCTGTATAGCCCTAGGTTGATGTTAGGGTTTTTGGCTCACAGTAGACAATGTAGCCTCAGGGCCCTCCTCTCCTTTCACGCCTCCTCTTTCCCTCTCTATCACAGCCAGTACCTGTTTTATATTAGGCCCACCCCAATAGGGTCCTCACAGAGTACTTGGTAGCCCGAGGGCCCTTACTAAGGTTACCTGTAGCCAGGGCCCGTCAACAGTACCTGTAGCCCAGGGCCCTCACAGTAGTACCTGTATTAGCCCAGGGAAACATTCTCACGTACATGTAGCCAAAAGGGGGCCCCCTCACAGAGCTGCTATCCCAGGGCCCTCCCTCCTCACAGTGTATGTGTATTGTTATCTGTTAGGTAGTTTATTATATATTAGCCCACAGAGGGAGCCCTCACCAGTCTCATAGAGAAGGTTACCCTGTACCCTCCCCCCCCCCGGCTGTAATAGCCCAGCGGGGCCCAACCAGTAGGCTTTTTTTAAGGAGCCCTCTGAGCAGGGGGCAGGGACCTCACAGTCAGATAACCTGATAGCCCAGGGGCCCTCAGGGATGAGACTGTAATGTATTAGCTGCAGGGCCCTCAATAGAGATCTAACCCTGTTAGGCCCAACAAGGTTGCCCTTCACAACTAAGGTACCTGTAGTCCAGGGCGTTTTTTTGCGTGTTTGTAGGTTTTTACTCACAGTATCCTTGGTAGCCCCATGGGTGCGGATACACTCACACAGTTGTCCTGGAGCCGGGGCCCTCACAGACCTGTAATTAGTGCCCTAGGGGCCCCCTCGTCCTACGTTAGTATTGTAGACCCAAGGGGTCCATCACAGTTACCTGTAGCCAGCGGACCCTTCACCATAGTGGAGGAAGATAGGCCTGTCGACCCAGTCAAATAGCCCTCCGATTGACCTGTGGGCCATGGCCAGGGGTAGCCCTCCAGCACAGGCGTAGGTCGTATGACCTGGGTAAGCTGCAGGGTTTTCTTTCTTCACCAGCTCACCCTGTAGTCCAGGGGCCCCACACACACAGAGTGCCTGTAGTCCCAGAGGAACGAGAGAGAGACGCCCAGAGGGAGGAAAACCAGACAGAAGGCCCTCACTGGAAATCTGTACATACATAGCCGTGGGCCCCCCGCACAGTACAGCTTACTGTAGCCCAGGGGGCCCCTCTCCTCCTCCTCCTCACAGTACCTTGTAGCCCTAGGGGGCCGGCACTCACAAGAGTAGTAACTATGCTGACACCAGGGGAGGGCCCTCACAAGTAACCTGTTAGCCAGGGCCGCTCAGTTCAGTACCTGTAGCCCAGGGACCCTCACAGCACCCTCTGCTATAGACCAGGGTCCTCACACTGCTGTAGCCAAGTGGTCTCAGAGTACTGTTGCCCAGGGCCCTCACACTACCTGTGCCCAGGGCCCCTCACAGAGTACCTGTAGCCCCAGGTAGGCGTCACTCACAAAAGTAGTACACTTGTAGCAAGGGGTCCTCACAAAGTTTTGTCTGCAAGGCCCAGGGCCCTCACAGTATTTGTAGCCCAGGGGGCCTCTCAGACAAGTTTTCCTGTATAGCCCTCGGGCCCTCACAAGTAACCTTCTATTAATATTAGCCAGGGAGGGCCCTCACAGTACCTGTAGTCCATGGGCCCTCCCTAGCCCTCACATTACCTCTGAAGCACAGAAAGCCGCTATATTACCTGTATATTTAGCCCAGGGCCCCTCACAGAACATGTATTAGCAAGGCGGGTCCCTCCTCTCACCAGGTGTCCGCTGCATGCCCACATGGGCCCTCCCCCCTAACTCCAGTACCTACTCTCCCCCCTGCTCACAAGTACCTATTAGCTAGGGTCCATCCACAGTTGTACACTGTCGCCAACCGCCCCAGAGCCGCTTCTCACATACCTGTAGTCCATGGTCCTCACTGACATGTTTAGTCCAGGGCCCCCTCCCCTCACGAGTACCCTGTTTAACCAAGGGGGGAGGGGGCCGTCAAAGTACCTCGTTGCGTAGCCCCAGGGTGGTCCTCACTGTTACCTGTAGCCCAGGGCCCTCACAGTACCTGTAGCCCAAGGCCCTCACAGTAGTCAGTTAACCTGCTAGCCCCCAGGGGCCCTCACCCAGTTAGTACCCTGTAGCCAATTGCCCCTCACAGAAAAAGCTTTTGTTTTAGTAGCCCATCAGGGCCCCTCACGTAAGGTAGCTGTTTATATTATTTATAATTAATAGCCCAGGGGCCCTCACCAGTACTGTTCGCCCAGGGGGCCCCCTCCCTCCTCACTGTTAGCTGTGTATTTGAGACTTGTAGCTCAGGGCCCTCACAGTTACCTTGTAGCCCGAGGGCCCTCCCTCTCAGTACCTGTAGCCCATGGCCCTCACAGTTAGTAGTGCTGTAGCCCAGGGACCTCACAGTTACCCTGTAGCCCAGGGCACTCCTCACCACCCCCTCACAGTTAGGCTGTTTAGCCCAAGGGCCCCTCACACTACGCTGTTACCCCAGGAGGGCCCTCACTCAAGTACCTAATAGCCCACGGTTCCCCCTAACAGTTTGCTTTGTAGCCCAGGTTTCACACAGTACCCCTGTTTGCCCAAGATCCCTACTCCTCAGTACTGTTACCCCCTGGGCCTCTCAGAGACCTGTAGCCCAGGTCCCTCGCAGTAGCTGTATGGTTAGCCCAGGCACCCAGGGCCCTACAGTCAGTACCTGTAGCTTAGTAGGGCCCTCAGTAACCTATAAGCCCAGGGCCCATCACCAGTACCTGATAGCCCAGGGTCCTCACATGAACTGTTAGCTAGGCCCATAGGGCCATCTCCACAGTACCTGTAGCCCTGGCCCTCCCCTCACAGAACCTGTAGCCCTAGGGGGGCCTCACAGTACAATGTTAGCCCAGGGCGACACTCACAGTACCTGTAGCCCAGGGCCACTCCCCACCTCAATAGTACCTGTAGCCAGGGCACTCACAAGTACCCTGGAATAAGCACCAAGGGCGCCTGTCAGTACTGTAGCCAGGCGGCTCTCACAGTACCTAGTGGTAAGTCCATAGGGCCCTCACACACCTCTAGCCCAGGGGCCTCCCACACAGGACCTGTAGCCCAGGGGCACTCGCAGACAAGTATCTGCAAAGGTCAAAAGTAAGTTAGTCAGAGTACTGTTACCTGTGTTAGCCCAAAGGGTCCCTAATACAGTACCTTAGGCCAGGGCACTCACAGATACCTGTACCCCCAGGGCCCTCACAATACCTGTTGCCCAGGACCCTCATAGGACCCTTCATAACCCTGGAGCCCATGGCCCTCTCAGTGCCAGGGCCCCAGCGCCCAAATGCCTCACAGTATCTGAGCCCGGGGGGCCCCACATTACCTGACCCCTGGTCCTTCACAGTACCTTAGCCCAGGGGCTTCACTCTTCCAAGCCCGGGGGCCCCACACTGCCTTCCCGGGGGGGCCCCTTTCCCCGCCCCAGGGCCCTCACACACCTTACCCAGGCCCCTCCCCTGGGTCCTGGGACCTACAGAAACTGTAGCCAGGGCCCAAACTTACCTGTTTGTCAGGGGGCTCACAGTTTCTGTAGCCCAGGGGCCTACGAAAATGTTAATCCATCTCTGATTACACGTAGACTGCGTGGTGCATGTAGTGTGCAGAGTGCACATAGACTGTGTAGAGTGCACACAGGCTATGCAGAGTGCACATAGACTGAAGAGTGCACGTAGACTGAAGAGTGCATGTAGACTGTGCAGAGTGCATGTAGACTGTGTAGAGTGCACATACTTTGTGCAGAGTCCACATAGCGACGTGACATAGCTTGGTAGTAGTTAAAGTATTTTGCCTCTTTTCACAATAAAATAATTTGAGCAATTTACAACTCCAGAATTTGAGATTAATCATTAGACGACATTTCTGTCTGTCTTAGATGTCTCAGTCTGTCATAGACGTTTTTTGGTCCTTGAACGGCTGAGACATCGTCAAAATTATTTACTTTAATTTGTGGGTGAGTTGTGATTTCCTCTTCTAATTTAGGTTGCTCATGTACGTGCTTATCCAAGACTTTAAAGTGAGTTTAGCAGCGCGGTGTTTTTTTTTTTACGTGTTTGTGTTACCGAACATTACAGTGTATAGAGAGACTTCCACTTAGTTGACTATATTTACCAGACATCCTGTTTATTTGTTTTAGATCACAGCGAACACCACAACAGCAGACCTTCATAACACCACAGCGGAAAATCCCCTCTTCAACGCAACAACGGTGGTGACCAATGAATCGGACAACGGCACTACAATTGCTGGCAGCCTCGGTGCCAACAAGACCATCACAGTGAAACCCAGTGTTGATAAGGTTGCTGGTAAGTCTCTGGCACTCATCTAGAATACAGCATACCAACGGATTATGTTATAGTTATCAGGAAGCTTTAAATCCACGAGATCACGCAACGCCTGGGGAGTGGGAGATAATCAAGACTGATCTGAAGGTATGATCTCAAGGTACTCTAATTTTTGGACCAAGAGCTCTTCACCAACATAAGAGTCCCTCCTTTTCCATGAAGGATCGCGGAGTACGGATCCAAGAGTACCAATCAAAATATTAACTTTTACAGTAGACTTTATGTGTGACCTACTGCAGGATCTTGAAGGTCATCATCTTTATGTGTGACCTACTGCGGATTTTGAAGGTCATCATTTTTAGGTGACCTACTGCAGGTTTTAAAGGTCATTCTTATGTGTGCCTACTGGGGATTTTGAGGCACATTTTTGTGTGATCGCAGGTTTTTGGGGTCTCATTTTTATGTGTGCCTATGCGGATCTTAAAGGGTTTACATCTTTAGTGTGACCTTTGCGGATTTTAAAGGTCATCATTTTATGTGTGATCTGCGGATCAAAAAGGTCTTCATTTTTTGTGGCCTACTGAGGATTTAAAGGTCATCATTTTAGTGGCCTTGAAATCAAAAGGTCTCATTTTTTTGTGGGACCTTGCGGATTTTAAAGGTCATCATCTTTTGGTGCCCTCTGCGGTCTTAAAGGTTATTTTTTTGGGGGGGCCAACGGCGGAATTTTTGGTAATTTTTATGTGTATTTACCGGTCAAAAGGTCATCATCTTTTTGTTGCCTACTGCGGTTTTTGGTCTCTCTTTTGTGTGCCCTACGCAGGATCTTAAAGGTCCCCCCTTTTTTGGGACATGAGGATCTTAAAGGTCATCATCTTTATGGTGCCTACTGCAGGATTTTAAAAGGGGTCATCATCTTTATGTTGACCTCTGCAGGATCTTAAAGGTCACCCTTTTTATGTGTGACCTACTGCGGTCTTAAAGGTCTCTTTTTATGTGTGACCTACTGCGGACAAAAAGGGGCATCACTTTGTGTGACCTATCAGGATCTTGAGGTCATTTCTTTATGTGTGACCTACGCGGATCTTAAAGGTATCATCTTTATTGTGCCCTATGCGGGTTAAAGTCTATCTTTATGTGTGACTACTGCGGGTCTTAAAGGTCTCATCTTTTTGTTGCCCTACTGCAGGATTTTAAAAGGGTCATCACTTTGGGGTGTGCCCTACTGCGGATTTTAAAGGTCATCATCTTTAGTGTGCCCTACTGAGGATCTTAAAGGTCACCCTTTTTTAGTGTGCTACTGCAGGTTTTAAAGGTAAATTTTTCTTTTTGTGTGACCTCGCGGGATTTAAAAAGGTCTCTTCTTTATGTGTCCTATGCGGATCTTAAAGGTATTCTTTAGTGTGCCCTACTGCAGGATCTTAAAGGCATCTCTTTATTGTGACCTCTGCGGATTTAAATCATCATTTTTATGTGTGACCTATGCAGGATTTTAAAAGGGTCATTATCTTTTTGTGTGCTACTGCAGGATTTTTAAAAAGGTTCATCATTTTTAGTGTGACCAACTGCAGGATCTTAAAGGTCATTTTTTTGGGGGACCTACTGCAGGTCAAAAGGGTCATCATCTTTTGTGTGACCTACTGCGGATTTTTAAGGTCATCATCTTTATGTGTGCCTACTGCGGATCTTGAAGGTCATCATCTTTATGTGTGCCCTACGCAGACTTAAAGGCTCATCTTTAGTGTGAAAAACTCGGGAACTTAAAGGTCATCATCTTTTGTGTGACTACTGCAGGATCAAAAGGTCTATCTTTATGTGTGCCCCCTACTGCGGGTTTTTTTTAAGGTCCATTTTTAGTGTAAAACCTACTGAAAGGTTTTAAGGTCTCATTTTATGGTGACCTACTGCGGATTTTTAAAAGGTCTTCATCTTTATGGTGCCCACTGCAGGATTTTAAAAGGGGCATCTCTTTAGTGTGACCTCTGCAGATTTAAAGGTCATCCTTTTTATGTTGCCCTACTGCAGATTTAAAGGTTTTTCATCTTATTGTGACCTACTGAGGATCTTAAAGGTCTCTCTTTATGTGGCCTACTGCAGGATTTTTAAAAGGTATCATCTTTTGTGTGCCAATGCAGGATTTTAAAGGTCTCTTTTATGTGTAAATACGGAGGATTTAAGGTCATCATCTTTATGTTGCCCTCTGCAGGATCTGGGGTCATCATCTTTTGGGGACCACTGGGTTTTTAAAGGTCATATCTTTTGTGTGACCTATGCAGGTCTTAAAGGTCACCATTTTTGTGTGCCCTTTCTGCAGGATTTTAAAAGGTCTCATCTTTATTGTGCTACTCAGGATCAAAAGTTAATATCTTTTGTGTGCCTACTGGGTTTTTAAAAGGTCTTCTTTTTTATTGTACCTCTGCAGGATCTTAAGGTTCATCTTTATGTGGACCTAGCAGGATTTAAAGGTCATATTTTTTGTGTGACCCTGCGGATTTTAAAGGGTCATCATCTTTATTGTGCCCTACTGCAGGATCTTAAAGGTTTTTCATCATTATGTGTGCCCACTGAGGTCTAAGGTCATCATTTTTTGGTGACCTACTGAGGATTTAAAGGCTCTCTTTATGGGGCCCTATGCGGTCTTAAAGGTCTCTCTTTATGTGTGCCTACTGCCGGTCTTAAAGGTCATCATCTTTAGTGTGACCTACTGCGGGATCTTAAAGGTCTCTTCTTTTGTGTGCCCTTTTAATGCGGGATCAAAAAGGTCATCATCTTTATGTGTACCTACTGCAGGATCTTAAGGATCATTTTTAAAGTGTGACTACTGCAGGATCTTAAAGGTCATCTTTATGGTGCCCTACTGAGGATTTAAAAGGTCATTTTTATGTGTGACCTCTCAGGTTTAAAGGTCATCATCTTTTGTGTGCCCTACGAGGTCTTGAAGGACATCTTTATGTGTGACCTACTGCAGGACTTAAAGGTCATCTTCTTTATGTGTGACCTACTGCAGTATTTTAAAAGGGTACATCTTTATTGTGACCTACTGAGGATTAAAAGGTCATCTCTTTATGTGTGCCCTACTGCAGGATCTTAAAGGGGTCATTCTTTATGTGTGACCAATGCGGTTTTCAAAAGGTCATTTTTCTTTAGTTGCCTACTGCGGATTTTAAAAGGTCTATCTTTATGTGTAAACTACTGCGGATCAAAAGGTCTAATTTTTTGTGTGTATGAGGACTTAAAGGTCATCATTTTTATGTGTGCCCTACTAGGTCTTAAAGGCCCTATTTTTATGTGTGACTACGCGGCCCCTTGAAGGTTCCATTTTTTATGTGTGCCTACTGGGGATTTTTAAAGGCATCCTTTATGGTGTACTACTGAGGATTTAAAAGGTCATCTTTATTGTGTCTGCGGATCTTAAAAGGTCTCTCTAGATTTCGTAGAATTAGGATGAAAACCAGTTTTCTGTAATATATAACTTTAAAGTAACTAAAATATTTAATTTTTTTTATTTGGGACCCCCCCAAAGCCGGGAAAGCTTAATAATTAGTTATAAGTGGAAGTAAATTTTTTTGTTTCGTGTATTTTCGACTATATGTGGTTGGTGGGGTGGATCATAGCTCCGGCCCCCCCTCTTTGCTGCGCTGTGTCTTGTGTGTATCACCCATTTGTGGTTTTCGGGGTCGACTTTAAAACTCCCGGCCCCCGCCTCTTCCTGACCTATAGGTCCTCTCTCTCCCTGCCCATGGTTTAGTAAACCTTCTTGAAATAAAGTGGTTCCCGCTTCCAATACTCACTTGCCAGAAAATTCCCCTTCCTGACAAATCTATGCTAAAGAAATACTTCCTAACCCCCTTTAACCATTTGATCTTCAAATTCCAAAATTGCCCCTTGTTTTTGTGTCCATCTCTGGAAAATCCTGTCTCTGTCCCTTGTCGTTCCTAGTATTTTGTATGTCGTTATCATGTCTCCCAAACCCCCCTGTCCTCCAGCTCGTCAAGGATTTCCCTTAATCTTTTGTCGTAGACACCCCTTATCGGGGAAAAGTCCCGTTGCAAACCTTTTCATTTCTCTAATTTTCTTGACATGCTTGACCGGGTGGGGTTTCCCAAATGGTGTGCAACCCAGTAGGGCCTGACCCATGGGGTACAGATTTTAAAGATTCCTTACTGAGGTTCGGAACGTATTCTAGGTTTGGCCCGGCCCCAATGCTGCAGATTAGGAGGTCTGATATTTAGAAGCAAATCCCCGACCCCCCTTGTACCCTCATTACACAAAACCCCCCAAACAGGGTTTGAGAGGGGCGCTCCTGCCTTCCTATTTGGATACAGGCAGGGTTTGGGTGCTGTGGGATAAACAAAAAGCGGTGTACATAACAGACTTTTCTAAAGCTTAGACAATTGTGACCATGGTGTATAGCGAACAAAATACGTGATAAAAGGGAAAACAGGAAAAGTGGGGGAGGGGTTTTAACTTTTGACAATCAACAAAAGAGTAATAGTAAACAGGTAAGTTGAGGAGTAGGTGAAAAGCTCTGTTCCCAAAAGGGACTTCTCACCCC